CCCCCCCCCCCTACTGTTCTCTCGTTGCTTTGCCACTTAAAAAAAAAAAGAAAAAAAAATTCCCGTTTTGTGACTCTGTTTTTTATCTTAATTAGATACTCATCGAGCGTTTCGTTTCTGCCCTTTACGAGACAAAGCGCACGAGAGGTCACGTATCGTTCTAAAAATGCATGGAAATTACGGCTGGGAGTTTCGTTGATTCTCGCTTGAGAACCATCCGTAACGAACAATTTCTAAGATTGCCTGCCGTGTCTAGATCTTTGGTCGAACAAGACCACATTCAGGGAGGGTGTAACATCGGAGATCTGCGATGGGAGCGGACCGACGCGACGCGTGATGGCGTCGATTCTCACGGGCCGTGTTATCGCGAGTTAACGCAGGGTAATAGTCGGAAAATAAAATATTTGACAGTCGTAGAATGGGATTCCCGTGTAGGGGCAGACTCCGAGCTATTACGAAGAGAGCGGAGATCTCGTAAATAGTCTCAGCTCTCTCTCTCTCTCTCTCTCTCTCTCTCGGTCTTGTCCGACCGACGGAGGACACCACTTTTATTTCGGCCCCGCAGAACTGTTCGAATTTTCTTATCCTACCGCGGTGAAACATCGCTTCGGGGGAGGGAGGGAAACTTTACTCTCGCGGTCGCCTTTGTTGGACTAACAAAACTTCAAGAGGCTCGTGATAAATTGACTCTCCTCTCCTCCTTTCTGCCTCTCTTCTCTCTCTTTCTCCCTCTTAGTCGTTTCGTACTTTCTTTCCATCCTTTATTCGCGCGCGTTCGATTCTCTCTCTCTCTCTCTCCTCCCCCGCGACTTTGTCACGACTTTTCCCCTTAATGAAGATGCTCCGGGCCGTTTCGACTCGAACGCACGGATGGATTCTAAATCATTTCGAGTGCTCGAAACTCGCCCAAGTTTCGAGAGGTAAGGTTAATGCGAATTTAACGAAGATCGTACGAAGTTCCAAGGCCGAAGGTTCGAAATACGTCGAGGCAAGAAGCGAGTGGACTGGACCTGGCTCGCTCACAGCGAAACTGGACGACCACTCTCGCTATTCTGGTAGTCTCGGAGGCAACGACGAACCCGAGGACTTCAATAACGCATTACACGGTCGCCTAGGGGAAAGCAATTTTTCCTGAAATCAATATTTGCAGAGTCATCCATGCTTGCTTGCAGCCTGTAGCAACATGTACGATTAAATTGCTCGAAAGCTCACGTGCCAGAGAATCGAATGCCCGTCCCTCCTTTCTAACGTCTGCTTCTTTGTACGTTCGTCCCTTTCTTCCCTTTCTTTTCCTCGTTTTTCTCGATCTCCGTCGCATTCAAATTAACGCTCGACGAACGAGAACGAATTCGTCGTGCGAATTATTCCGAAAGTCGTGAAGAAAGTTGTAAAATCCTCCTCCTCGTGTTACTTTCCCGTTATATTTCTTTCGTGTGTTTGCACTTTTCACATATAGCGTGTCTTTGCTAAAGTTTTCCACTGCAGAGATTTTTGCTGCAACGCGTATTAAGATCACCGGTGACAGTCTTTTTCTTGCTCGTAATAATTCGTCTCCATCGTGGGTGAACGATGAAAGCAGGGAATCTAGTCGTATCGAAATTGTCCGAGTTAGAAATTCACTGTTAGTGGATATTTGTCTTGTGGACTCTTTCGTTTTTAAGACTTTCGTATTTTATGGATATAGTCAGCCTTAGGTGACGTTAGGTTTGTGAATCATGTTGCGAGAAAAAAAAAAAAGAATTAACTGAAACACACGTGGTTTATAATATAATATTTAAGTAATTAAGGAAAACTGTTATCATGACTCGATACACATACTCTTTACCCAAAATTTTATCCTTAAAATCTTTATCTTCGTATGTACCAACGCACAATCGTACGCTCGTATTTTAGACGCCCTAAGACGAGAGACTGAGAAAACAATCCCGAGTCTGGTTTTTCCGTTGCCACAACAATCGCATCGGGCGATAATTGTTTCGCTCTTTCGGCCATGCAGGAAGAAATTCCGAATAATGAGATACCCTCACCCCTCACAATACCGCACAAAGATGAACACTGTCGTAGGATGGAGCTTTGTCAACCTGCAGTCTGCGGAGATTGTTTCCACGAGTCAATTCGCGAGATCTCTTAACTTATTTACAGTCGTCTAGGCGATTAGACACAACCGAGTAGTCGACAAGTCGGGATCTCTGGCAGACTCCTCGCGATTGCTTCCGACGTGTTCCACCCCCGTTTTCGAGCAGCTTCTTCCTCTTTCTTCACCTTCTGTCCACCCGCTCCCTGTCCCGTTTTGTTCTGTTTATTCGAAGTTCGCCGGCAGCGGCGCATCAAGTATGGAAATGAATTACGAAACGAATTAGGAAATTAGTATAGAGCCGGCTTAAATAGTCCATTTAA